GGCCTCCCTCTTGGCAGCCTCGGCTGCCTCGGCGGCGGTCCTGGCAGCATCAGCGGCAGCCTTCTCGGCTTCGGCCTTCCCCAAGGCCCGGGCTTCCTCCTTGGCGGCCTCCAGCTTTTGGTCAGACTGTCGGAGGGCCTCCTCCAAGCATGCCAGCTGCCGAATGGCCTCGGTATTGTTGGCCACAAGCTTCCTCGTCACCTCAGCGGACTTGGCCCTCTCAAGGCGATGTTGTTCCGCCCTGCGAACCAGTTCCCCGAAGGCCAGGCTAGCCTACAAACACATAGGGAGGCACTCAGTATCAAGCTATTCGTTGAAAAGGAAAGAAAAGGGGAAAAGTGAAAGGATTCTAGATACTTACAGTAACCGAGGCCTGAAGAGCCTTCAGCTCGAGAGATTCGTCCTCGAACCTACCAAGGGTGGACCGGTCCACCGAGGGGGTGGCGCCCCTCAGGAACTCCCTCGGATCGAGAGTACCATGCATTATAGCCGTCCCCTTCTTGATGGGGAACTGCACCTTCTCCAGTGGCCAAGCCCCCTCATCGATATCTACTAGGGGGAGGGAGTCCGAGGGCTTGCCCGAGGGGAGCTCGTCGATGATTACTACTGAGGGCGCCTTCTGCCCAGCGCCCCCCCTTGATTTCTTCTCCTCCGGGGGCTGGTTTCCCTTCCCGGAGTTCTTCCTTTTCAGGCCCACAGCCTTGGAGCTTTCCCCGTCAACAGTTTCCGAGGGCCCCTCACCCTCGTGTTTCTTCTCCACCTCCGGCTTCTTGGGAAACTCACCCACAACTCTCTGGGTCGAGGGCCCACCGTCTTTCTTCTTCTGTTTAGCCAGTTGCTTGGAGAGCTTGGCAAAGGCTTTCGGGTCCATGAAGTTACCTGCAAAACGCAAAGAAAAGTTAGAGTCAAGGTTAGGCAAGGAGAAATATTCTAAGTACCGGAAATAAGACCCCTCGGCAACAACCTTCTGCGTTTTGATATCCCCGGTCGACCAGAGGGTACTTCTCATCTTCCTCCCCAGCAAGGCGATAGCGACGAAAGCCTAGCAGATACAGATCCTCCGACAGGGTGGCCTCCCTGATGGCAATCACTTTATCAGACCCCTCGGGCTTCTCCGTGAGTTTCTTGCCAGCCTTCTGCAGGGCCGCACTACCCACCTTTGGGTGCCTCCGGAAGTGGTCGCGCAGGGCCCCTGGAAACGGATTGACAGGAAGACGGATATAGCAGAACTTCTCCTTCCACTCCTTATGGGACGAGGGGGTCTCAGAAAACAGCTTCCATGCCGGCACCTGCTGCAGGTTGGCGTATCCCCCGGCGTGAGAATGTCCCCCTCGACATAGATTGAAGGAGAGAAAGAACTGCTCCAACGTGGCCTCCACCTTCCGGCTGCGGCACAGAGATAGGAACCCTGCCAGATAATAATGGCTGTTCGGGGTGAGTTGGCAGGGGGCCAGCTTCACGTATCTGAGGTACTCCAGGACAAAGGAATGGAGTGGGAATCTGAGCCCCAGCTCCACCGACAGCGTATGCACGGAAAAGCACCCCTCAGGGGGATGGGATAACAAGTCTTCGGGCCCCGGCTCCACGACCTGGGCTGAAGGTCCAACAAGGACCTGGAGGGTTTGGCAATCGGCACCCGAGGCCGTCGTAGTCACCTCAAGAGCGGTGGTATCCAAATACGAATACCCCTCGGGAATTCCGACGGGTCGCCCGGCGTCAACGGCCGCTTGCTTTCTCTTTGGAGCGGCCTTCGGCTTCTTCTTCTTTTTCCCCTCGGCTACCCGGAGGGGCTGAGCGTCCAAAGGCCGGGAGGTGCTCGCTTCACCAGCACCCCGAGAGGGCATAACTGCAATTGTCACCTGGCGGCGTTCCTTTTCATCCTCCTCTTCAGCGATTTGCAGAGCGAGGGCCAGCTCCTCATCCTCATTCACCTGTTCGAAGTCTTCGGCCTCCAACTCGGCCCGAAGGACTTTTTGCACCTCCTCAGCTACCACGAAGTCGTTGTTCATCGACGGCTGCTCACTCGAGGACTCCACATCCGAGTAGCTCTCCTGCTTTTCCGAGGGCTCCCTTGAAATGTCCTGAGAGTCGCTGGCAGAAGACATCTCTTGCAGGTTGATCGCCGAAGGGTTTTCGAGAGGGAAGGAGTTTCCTAGGGTTCTAAGGCCACTAACACTAAATCAAGAGACGAAAAAGCAAAGTATGCTAGAAAAGTGAAAAACAGGGAAGAACTGACCTCAAGGAATCGAATTCAATCGAAGGAATTGCTTTCTCTCTCTAGAAAAATGGGCAGAGCTTCGCTATAGCTAAGGACGCACAGCGCGAATGACTTGGGGCTCGGGGTATTTATAGGCTTTCAGCCTCGAGAACTGGGCCTCGATTTGAAAAGGCCATCATTACGGGCCGCCGCTTCAGCCAACGGGTGACACCCGCCCACTTTCGGCCAACAGGAGCACGCCACGTGTGCTCCCCTTCCAACGGTTCTATTATAACGGCCATATTCCCGGGATACTAGCATGCTTCCGGGTAATAGCCTCCGGCTGTCACCTGTTACATCCTTCGGGGAAGCATCAACATAAGCCTTCGGATTATCGACGTTGCACCCCCAAGTGATTGCCTCCGGCTGGAGCCTGTTATAGCTTTCGGTGAACAACTTTCGCCTGGCGCCTTCGAGGATACAACAACATGAGCCCTCGGTTTACCGGCAATTTTACCCCTAAATCAATGGAACCCCTCGGGGTTACACACACGTTATAACTCCTTCAGCCCAAACTTGCCTTCGGCCTAAAGGAGTGGGGGACTGGGATACACCCCTCGGGAAATCATACACAACAAAAATTTCTTCATGCAACATTTTACAATTGACGCATACGGCCTCCGGGCAAACATCACAGTACAACCCCTCGGGTACATGCTTCAACATACCCTTCGGCGGTGGCAGAATATCACAAATTCTCCCCGAAGTCACTTGCGAAAATGAAGCAGCCCTCATCACAACACATGCAGGCAATACACCCACGCTTTCCTCAGGAAACCCTCGACATGTGAGGGACTGAGGAAGCCTTCTGCGATCACACAGGTATTATACTGCCCTCAGAAAACCCTCGACATGTGAGGGACTGAGGGAAGCCTTCGGCAATCAGCAGAAGACAAGTTCTCCGGCAAAGACACCCAGCGAGATGATGGAGCCTCCAGAAGAATCAACACATCTACTCCTTTTCCCTCAAGTACCTTTCGGCAAAAGGAGTGAGGGACTCCTGATGGAGTATATGGCCCAGGAACCCCCGGCCCATAGACTCCTACTTCTCCTGCACAAGTCCATTGAGCCCAGGAAACAACTCGGGCCCAAATACAACGGCCCAAGCCTCGAAGAAGCCCAGAATACGCACTGGGGTGCCTTCGGCCTCCTTGGCCGAAGGCTCCAAAACTCACAGGATAGCCTTCTCTAGCATAAAAAGCTACTGGGAGAAAACGGCGAAGAACATGAGCCTTCGGCATTATCAAACCCTCGGATCAGAGAAGCCTTCGGCTGAACGAAGCCTGCGGCTACAAGGAGCCCTCGGCTACACGAGGAACCTTCGGCAACACAATGAGCCTTCGGCTGAACAGGCTCAATCATCGAAGATTCCTTTTAGAGACAGCCAACCACCGCATTTAATGCCACGTCACATCCGCCAACCGCATTCAATGCGGTTGACGTACCACTGCCAGCACCACTAGGCTGATGTGACCCTTCGGCCGTTGGATTACTGACACGTGTCCCCTCATCGCATTTATTGCTGCTATAAATAGCAGCCTATTTCTCCTTGTAATCAACACAATCTGCATCTTACTCCACGCTGAGTTCATTTAATAAAATCGACTCTCTCTCCTCCTATTTGCTCTGACTTCTCTCTAGTTATTTCCGCAATAACCCCTCGGATAAGATACCCCCCGGGTAGACTGTCCATCAATAAGTCTGATAACTTTAGTCATTATCACATTGAGTTTAGAAAACATTCAAAAAATTGAGTTTAGAAAAATAAAATATTACTCCGTACTTTTTAGGAAATGGAACACTATTATTACTTTATTTATAAAATAACTTTGAAGAACAAAATTGATAGGAACTTGGATGATTTATTTGTTAGGTGCGCAAAACACGGATAATTCACTTCTCAATAGAATGTAATAAAAATAAAAGTATAAAAATAATTAAATTAAATAAAGTCTATGTGCACGGATGACTATTTATTGTTGTGGTTGCAATAATTGCTATTTTAATCACAATCCATATTACTACGGAGTAAGTAGTAGATTCTGAAAAAGTTACCAAATAAGGTGGATTTTATCATACGCGACGGTCTTTTGTTTCCATATCAATATGTAATAAAAAAGAATTGAATAAAAAAAAGGTATAAATATTAATTAAATAATTGTTATATATGATGACATGGCAGGATTATGTGGCACGCCAGATGCTCTTAAAATTTCTCTTTTATATATATTTTAATAAATATCCATATTAATACGGAGTAAGTAGTAGATTCTGAAAAAGTTACCAAATAAGATGGATTCTATCATACGATCTTTTGTTTCCATATCAATATGCAATAAAAATAGAATGTAATAAAAACAATAAAATGTATAAATAGTAATTAAATAATTGTAATATATGATGACGTGGCAGGATTATGTGGCGCGCCGTATGCTCTTAAAAAGTTCCTCTTTTATATATATATATTGATTTTTGTATAATCCCAACTATATAGACTATCCGCCAATAATGGTCCATGACCATATATTACCTCTATAAAAAGTGAATTTTAAATAGAAATTAAGCGTAAAAATTAAAAGTTGAGATTATTATATGGATTACTTGTTATATCTCATCTCATCCACTTTAGAAACTACAAGAATTTATTCATATGGACCATTATTGGCGGAAGGTCTCTAAAGTTGCGATTATTCTTTAATGATCAATAGTTGGTATTATTATAAACGGACCGTCAATAGTTGGGATTATTACTATCAATTTTTCCTTAATAATAATCGTTCAAAGCTAGGCATTTTTGTGTGACTATTATAAATGTTAGAAGGAGTACCTCAAATTGATATGGAAAAACCTGAGTTACATTGATATGGATAGAGCATGCACCTTTTGCTACACCCATGTTGAAACAGTAGCTCACCTTTTCTTCCAATGCCCCAATATAGGGAAAATTTGGAATGATATATGTTTGTGGCTTGGTGTTAAGCAACATATTACTACACTTGCTGCTGCTGTCAAATGCTTCAAGAAGTTTTATGCCGGTGCTAGAATCAAGAGCAAGGCAGTGCGGATTGCCATGTGCTGCACAATTCATACTGTTTGGAAGGCAAGGAACAAGCTAGTGTTTGAGAAAAAGGCTACTCCTTCTAATGAAATTTTTCTTCAGATCAAGTTATTGACTTATAAGGTTTTGTATAGCCTTTATCCACCAGATTTTATTACTTTTTGAGGCTTTGTTGTTTGTGAATTTGATGTTCTTTGAGAATTGTTGATTGAGATACTTGATTGCTTTGGGTAAATGTAAACGGGGGTATGCCCCCTAAATCTGTGTAATAGCTTCTTGGTTATATAACATTTACATGTTTATCCAAAAAAAAAAGGAGTACCTCAAATTTTAATATCCTGTTTTATTCTTTCAGAGTATGTGATGTGAGACTTTAACGATACGCGACATATCCGCAGCCAGTGCATCTCACAAGACGTCGGATTGGTGGAGACTGGGGTTTTGACAGTCTGGACTCTGGACCAAAGACTTCTTCGACGGTCAGACCCATTTACCTGAAAGCTTGGTTGCAACTTGCAAGCCACCAAAAATAATTGATGAGTGTTTATAACAAACATATGTGTCCAATTTATATTTTTGTACGAGTACTTAATTAATCAAAATTGCCTTAAATAAGACTAAAATGTTTTGAAATTTCAAAATAGTACTATCGTATTTCTTATTCTCTGAATAGGAGTAATATATCAAGTTTGAAAAAAAATGTTATGTTTAAAACCTATTAATAGCAGAAATTTACTCCTATTCACGAAAAAAACATGATAATCCTATTTTGGAATTTCAAAATGTTTTTACTCTCGTTTAGGGAATTCTCTTTCTTAATTGATTGGAAAATTGAGGATAAAAAAACGATCTATTAAAACATGCATTTCCATGAAATTTTACATTTGCGTATTGTTTATTATTGCATTTTGTTATACTTGCTTATTTTGTAACTAGAAATACTGATTAAATCGTAACTTATTCCCACCTACTTTTTATTCAGAACCATATTTAGATAATGAATAAAAAATTCTTTTTGTATTGAAATAGAAATTCTTATTTGATTAAAATCAAATTTACATTTCCCCAGCTAAATGTCAGACCGTTAATGGGTGTCATCCATTTTTAGCTAAAGTTATTAAAAATAGGTTTCGGTCAATGTAATTCGGAAACTAACTTGTAAATTTTTAAACAAATCATGCCATAGAAGAGGGAATGCATCCATTATTGTCGTTGTGTTTGCCTTTAATTTGTTATTCCCCTTTTTGCTAGTTTGTTCTCTTTCAAATTCTTTTCATCATATTTACGTTTTTGTGGTCTTTTACTTTTTTATACTTCCTCCGCTCTTTAATGAGTGCAACACTTTCCATTTTCGACAGTTTCAAATTAAGTGCAACATTTCTATTTTGGAAAAGATATACAAAGCCAAATGACTTTTATACCCTTCATTAGCTTCCTCTTCCGTTTTTGACTTTTTATTTAATTTCATTTTCTCCACCCATGACCCACCCACGATCCATTCTTCTTTACAGCTACTTGGACTTTCGTTTGTTTATTACGGATTTCAGTTACAGCCATTTACGGATAAAAGTGCAGGGAGTATCATCTACAATTCTCTTCAGTCTTCACCGACTCAGCCGATTCTCCATTTCTCCCGTCATCTCCCTCATTTGTTTTTTTCTCTGATTTGTATTTTAATAATGGCCGAAACAGAAGACATGGATGACCATTAAACTGATTTTGTGATAGCCGTTATATTTACTTGTGTTTAACATAAGTATTTATAAGTATTTGTTGAAGAAAAGAAGAGAAATCGGGCAAATACCTCCAGAATGAGAGCTAGACCATAAAACATTGCGATGAACGCCTTTTTGGACCAAGAGAATGACGTTCTGCCCATAATTTGAGTATAACGTATTCTATAGAACTCGAAATCACTCGATTCGAGTGTCATGTGAATACTAACTCAATAAGGTACAAATGTTATGAAGACGTCATGACCAAAATATGAAAGGAACAAGACTCAATCAACCAACAAAGTCAGATGTTGCTGGTGGGATTTCAGGATGCATACCTCTCAGTGTTTTATCCATATCTCTTGATTGGATGAATAAAATCATGTCATTCAAGTTTTGTTGGGTAGAAGACTTCATTATCTACAACTTTGGTGAAGGAGTCATGTCCAAATTCGTAGCGGAACATCCCCAAAATCCCAGGACAAAACCGGCGCCGGAATTTGCACCAAACTGGCATCCGTTTGTTGATTTTCACATGTACACAAACCAGTAGCTTACCCGGCGCCGGGTAGGCCTTATAACCGGCGCCGGGTATGTCAAAATTTCAGATTTCCCTGCGCACAATGAAGAACCGGCGCCGGGTAGGCCTGAACCCGGCGCCGGGTAGGTCTGATCATGCAAATACAAAAGAACGTGCTGAAATATTTTGATGGGAAAACTCACCTTCCTCATGAGCTAATCAAATATATCTTCCATGCTTGATTGTTGGGCTCGAATAGACTAAAAGATGTCAATCTTTAGCCTATATAAAGCCCCCAATTCATCAAACAAGATCATCAATCCATCCTTGAAGCTTAAATTTCAGTTTTTATATTTTATTTTTGCATTCTCTTGAAGTGTTGGAGAAGAAGCCATTTCTCTCCTCTACAATTGGTTCTAGGTATTATTTCTTGAATGTTATTGTATTTCCTTTATCTTAGTTACACTTTTGTAATTAATATGAGCATTAGAGGCTAAGTTCTTAGCTAAGGCTAGGGATGAACTTCTATGCCCACTAGGTGTTTGATAAAAGTTCTAAACCAATAAATTGTGATTTATCCTTTACATTTTGATTGTTTATGACTATGGTGTACAACATAGAAGTATGTTAAACTTAGTTTATGCTTGCAATTAACGTTGAGGTCTAAATTATGAACATTAAAGGATAAACATATATATATATATATATATATATATATATATATATATATTACCGAGAATAGAAATATATCCGGTATTATATGATACGGGTGTGATGTCTTGATATTCAATGGGGTTTTCGGTAGATGAATGTAAGCCGTAACGGGACTTACACGTAACGAAAACCACGCTCTCGCTGCCTTAACCGGAGTTGAGAATATATTAGCGGCATCGTATTCATAATTATTGGTAAAGAACTAATATTCAACCCTATTAAAGCATTTAAGTGATTCCCGAAGCCTTAGTTGTTGTTATCAATCACTTTAATCAAATTAATTCAAGTTATATCTCTGAAAATTAAAAAGAAGAACCAAGTTGTTGTTTTCACAACAACACACAACTCAAAATCCCTGCACTTTACTCATTTACTTATTCAAAGTCATCTACTCGCGGACTAAATTAAACAACGTTTCCCTGTGGATTCGACCCGGTATATTACCGGAATTTATTACTATATCGGCACTTGTACACTTGCAAGTTCAACCCGGTCATTTTGCTTCAGTTACTCCCTCACAAGTTGAAAGAACTGGCGGTAATGGTGACCTCTAGGCGGCGGCCGACTGCTGCGGTGTCTGCGTGGGATGACAATTGGCGGAAGTGGACGAGGGGATTCACGCTAGAGAAGGAGGATGGAGTCGCTTGCCGGAGTTTAGGCAAGATTCAAATGGGGTCTTCGGAAAGTGAGCAGTACACCCGGGCTTGCTGTTTTGTTCCTTCGCTGTAATCATTCATCCACTTTTAGTTACTGTAGAACTTTCTTTTTGTTTCTTAATCCTTGTGCCCAAGTGCATGTTGCACTAATAACCGAACAGAGGAAGTATATCTAAATGTCCATTTGGTGACTCTACTATATATGGTTTATCAATCAACTTTTTCATCAAAGTTGAATTTACTTCTCTGGTTGTATTGACTGAAATTATTGTAGATGATTATTTTTGCATTTTTTTCATATATTTTTTTCTTTATTTTATTAATAAAAATATTTTAAATATAAATTTTTTCATGAATCAGAAGAATCAACAAATCCAGTCACTTCAACAATAATATCATAAATTTTAGCAGAATGAGTTGATGCATCTATTTTTATATTTATCTTTATCTAAAATCTTATAAATGCCAATGAGGGCTAGGGCATTTAAGGGAGGAAAAAAATGTTGGTGGTATCCTCTAGCTTAATTGAAATGTACAATACACTTTGCCATAGGTACTCTATCAAAAGAACTTTAACTTGCCGTTTTATTTCCGTCGGTTATTCCTCCTGTCTGTTCATCCGATCCGTCTCTTCTCTGAGCGCTCCAAGCCTTTGAAGTTTGAACCCGTTGCCTACTCGATGCCTACTCCCATCTGTTCATCTGATCCAATATGTTTTCTTTCCATCCCCCCTTCTTACTCAGTGAGTCGCTGATCTTCTGATTTCTCAGGTATGCATTTTGCTTTCAGTTTTAGTTTTGTTATATTTTAGTTAGTTCAACATAGACCTGCACAAAACCGGGCCGGCCCGCCCGGCCCGCCCACATAAATGGGCGGGTTTGGACACATGTTTTAGCCCACCGGGCCGGGTCGGGTCGGGCCCGTTTAAAATATGGGCGGGCTTGGGTTGTAATATAGGCCCGGTCGGGCCTAAAAGCCCGGTTCGTAAACATAGGAAGTATTAGGTTTGGAGACCAAAAAACATCCTAATGGCTATATATTGTTATACCAAAAAACATCCTAATGGCTTTAAAATTTTCTAAACATAGGAAGTTTAGACAAATGTTGTGATGTTATTTTTATAAATGTTTTCATTTTTTTTAACAAAGTTGACAAAAAGGATATTTTCCGGGCCCAAAAGCCCGGTGGGCAGCCCGGCCCGCTCTCATGGGCGGGCTTGGACATATGAGGAAACCCGTTTTACCGGGCCGGGCCCGCCCACTACAAGTGGGCAGATATTTTCGAATAAGCCCGGCCCGAGCCCGGCCCGAGCCCGTGTTTGTGTAGGTCTAGTTCAGCATTATGCCTCTATTTCTTGAAATTTTGGGGGTTTCTATTGTGAATTCGGATAAATTGCTCCCTAGATTTTTGGAATTCACATGCTGTGAATTTTCATGTTATTGTGAATCCTGAATTCAGCTTTAGTTTGAGGAATTGTGATATGCGATTTAATGTGGATACTGTGATTTCTTTGCATTCAGCTTTAGCTCTTTAGTTTGTTACTATTCAAATTGTTGTTGTTTTGAATTATGAATTCTGGAATATCCCTAGATTGTTGATGTGGATTAGATGAGTAAAACCTAGAATCTGATTAAGTATGCTCGTATGGATATGGTACGGTTTAGACCTTTTGAACTTCAGTGATTGGGGCTTGACTTAGATCTGAATCAATTTAAATGTAGGACCTAGGAAAAAATGTTGTGAACTTAATGATAAAAGAAAATCCACGTCTTTTATGTTTTACACATTGGTTCTGCCCAAAAAAAAACAGCAACCTTGGTTTGTGTTTATCATTTTTGTTTCTATTGTCATTATTATATTATCCTTTCTCAGATGATGGACCTGCAATACTTTTTTTTTTTAATACCAAGAAGCCTCTCTTTTTGCTCAACAATTTTAGTAGGATGTTTTTCAGTTCTTGGTAGATATTGCTTTATTCATT